AAATGATCCCCGGAATTATTATCATTATGTGGCATGTGAAATGTGAGCTTTGTAAAATCATCACTGCTGAGTGAGAGAGTCTTCTGCTGCTGGTGTGTTGTGATCATCGCCCTCATCATCCTCAGTACTGAACCAGGGCGAAGACGGGCGAGGAGACCTGCTTGCGGCCGGCCAGGTCGGCCAGCTCGATGACCACGGCGGCGGAGCGGACGGTGCCGCCGCACTGCTCCACCAGCTTGATGGCCGTCTTGAGCGAGCCGCCGGTGGCGAGCAGGTCGTCGACGATGACCACCGGCAGGCCGGCGGGGGTGATGGAGCTCTCCTGGAGCTCGAAGCGGTCGCTGCCGTACTCCAGCTGGTAGGCGGCGGAGACCACCTTCCCCGGCAGCTTGCCCGCCTTGCGCACCGGCACAAAGGGCAGCCCCAGGCGGAGGGCGAGGGTGGGGCCGAAGAGGAAGCCGCGCGACTCGAGGCCGATGATGGCGCCCACCTTGGGCGGCGCCAGCGAGCGGATGTGCTCCTCGAAGAGCGCCATCACGTCCTCCAGCACCGACGGATCCTGGAAGAGGGGGAAGACGTCGCTGAAAGAGAAGAAGAAAAAGTCCAAATGTCAACAACAACATCATCATCATCAAAACGGGGAAATCGAACTGATAAAAAGAGTGGGGAAACACACAGGCGGCGCCGTACCGAAAGACGATGCCCTCCTTGGGAAAGTTGACGTAGGTGCGGATGGTGTTCTTGATGCGTTCCAGGCGCTTCTCAGACTTTGTGTCCATCGTGAAAAAAGGTGAAATTAAAAAACTGTCAGTAAACAGGTGAAAGTATGCAAGTCAGTGAGTGAGTGATGACGAGCAATGAAGAGACTGAAAAGGCGAAAAAGAAATAGAGAAATAGAACTGGCAAAAATGAGCGACGACTTGTCTGCTCTACTCATCAAAAATGAGCGAGCGAGCGAACCAGCAGACAAGAGACACTCTGCGCTCATCACCCCACACTGATTAGATTAGATTAGAGGGTGAGGGTGAGGGTGATGATGATGAATGGTAATAATGGTTTAATGGGTAGGCTTTATTGATCCAATACTGAGAAGAGTACTATATCAAAACGATTGCAGATTGGTGTTCGTGTGTGGTGGTGGTGGTGGTGGTGGTGGTGGTGTGATTATCAAATAAAGTCAAGTTGGAGAGCGAGAGAGCGAGAAAGAGAAAGAGTTTGTGGCAAATCAAAGGGGGGGAGGAGGAGGGCGATGCGAACATGAACAGGGCAGAAGAGAGAGATTGAACAAAGGATATTGTGGTAAAAAGAATCGGGAGACAGCGAACACAAACAGAAGAAGAAATGAAAAGAAGAGCCGAGTTATATTAATTGGAAAAAGAAGGTTGAAGAAAAAAGAAAATAAAATGTGTTTGTGAATGCAAAAAAATGGTAAAGAGCTGAAGATAGCGCGTAGGGGCGGGCGTTCATGCAAGAGTGGGCGCGTGTGTGGGTGTATTTGTGACGGTCAGAGAATAGAGAGCTGAAGGTAGCTCAGGGTAATAGCGGGATAGAAGAGAAGAGAACATAGAAGAATATGGGGATGACATATCAGTAATCGGAAGAGGAGAGGAGGAAATTGGTGGTGGTGGTGGTCGTTGTATGGTAAGGTTTGTCGTGGAGGTGTAAAAGGAGAAAGTGGTGCTGGTCGAGAAATAGAAATAGAAATGGTGGGGACATCAGTCTCCACAACAATAGTGTCTTTGCTGTTGTTGTTGTCGTGCACTTGACCAAATCAGTGACAGACTACAAAGGATGCAGCAGCAGCAGCTACTTATTCTTTTGCTTCTTCGGCTTTGGCTCCTGGAAGTTCACCCCACCCGAATATTGCTGATTGCTGTAGTAGTCCACGCCGTAGGGCGGCATTCCTGGAGGGGGCGGCNCAGCAGCTACTTATTCTTTTGCTTCTTCGGCTTTGGCTCCTGGAAGTTCACCCCACCCGAATATTGCTGATTGTAGTAGTCCACACCGTAGGGCGGCATTCCTGGAGGGGGCGGCCCTGCTGCTGATTGGTGGTGGGAGGGATGGTGGTGGTGGCCGTAGCCTGCGACAGCCGGCGGCGGTGCCGGGTAATTCGGCGGGTAGTTGCTGTAGTAGCTGTAGCCATTGTTCACGCCAGGCGCCGAGGCAGCGGGTGAGGGTGAAGAGGTGGTGGGGTCCTGGTGGTGGTGGTGGTGGTGGCTGTGAGGATGGTGTGGGTGACTCTGGTGATGCGAGGGCGGCTGGCTCTGGTGAAGATGGCCGCCGCCGCCGCCAAAACCACTGGCGCCGCTGTTGGGCGAGCCACCACCGAGGCCTCCTCCGCCTCCTCCTCCTCCGCCGCCCGAGGCGTACTGCTCCATGAGGTGGCTGTTGAGGACCTCGCCCGAGCCGAGGTTGTAGTTGCTGGTGCTGCCGTCGCTGCCCTCGTCGATGATCTTCGTCAGGTAGGTGTTCAGCTGCGTCTGCAGGCGCTTCACGCAGTTCGAGAGCGAGCTGAGGTGCGTGTTGGACTCGTAGGCGGCGGCGGCGGCGGCGGCGGCGGCCGCGGCNGGCTGCTGCTGTGAAGAGGGGGCGTAGGCATTGACATCGTAGGCGAACTGCTGCGAGGCGCCGTTTCCACCGCCGACGCCGCTCACGTTGGCCTTCACCTGGTAGTGGTGGGCGGCGGCGGCCGCAGCGTTGGGGACGTAGTCATTTTGACTGTACTTGTTGTACTGGTTATCGCCCATAATGTTTACTGCTGCTGTTGATGCTGCTGATGTTGTTGCTGATGCTGCTGATGATGATGATGCGGCTGCCAAGGGAAAGCATCAACAACGGCTACGAAAAGTGCTCACGACGCGGCTACCGCTGCTGCTGGTGAGATCGAAGCAGGAAGAGAAAGGCTGCACACTAAAGTTGTCTGCTTTTCGAAATGGCCTCTTCAGTGGTCTAATCAATGAAGAAAGGGAAGGAAAGGGAATGTCAGCAAATGGTATTGATGAAGATCGGTGCGAAGATGCCCGCAGAGCACTGACAGCAACACACTGGACAGAGGCACACAATGAGGGCCGCCACTGATGCTGCTGCTGTTGGCTGGCTAACTGGCCACTTGGCGACTCACACTCAGTTTTTATGACTGTGATGGCTGTCGTCGGTTTTCGAACCGAATGGAGAACGCTGCAGAAGGTGCTGGTGGTGGTCCAGGACCCTGGAGGACCTGAGTTTTGGTGGTGGTGGTGGTGGTAGTAGTAGTAGCGATTGGAGATAGCCAGCGAAGGCAATCGACTGGGGAGAATGGTGGTGGTCAATAATTCCGCGAGTAGAGCCGAGCACTAAGCACAGAAAATTAGTTCAGCCTCTCTCTCTCT